TGGTGTGTGTGTGTGTGTGTGTGTGTGTGTGTGTGTGTGTGTGTGTGTGTGTGTGTGTGTGTGTGCTTACATTGTGTTGTGTTCCCCAGAGCAAGCTGGCTAGCTGGACAAGCCTAATTGACCTCCAGGTTCAGGAATAGACCTTACCTCTCAGTATATATCGTGGAGAGTGGTCAAGAAGACACCACATCAACTTCTGGCCCAAATACACAAGAACCCACACATGAACAGACATGCACATATGCAGGCATGCCACATGAACAGATGCAAAACAACAAAACCCTTGTGTTCTTGTTCTGCAGGCTTGGTTTGTATTCTCTAGAAGGGTTTTTATTAGTTAAAATACAGAGCAGCAGCCTAAGAACCAGCTCATGCTAAGGCTTCACAGGGCCTTTTCCCAGTTCTGGGAGAGGCTGGCAGAGTCTAGGTGTCTCGGGATGTTTTCATGTGGTTATGCTGTTTAGACTATTAGTCATCAAGACATCCATGCTAACAGCATAAAGATATAATTAGATGATTTCAACAATTTAGGGACATTGTTCCTGTGCAGGACTGAGGATCTGTGTGTGTACCAGCTTCATCTGTAGCCTGCATGCCTCCCATTGTAATGTGACCTGTTTCCCAGATCCACAAATCCTGTGACTTGTGTTATCTCTTCTCATGACTAACATCAGACAGCCAGAGCAGCAGGCATGCTGATGTTGGAGTGTCTAATTGATTCTGATGCAAACTCTGGAGCACGAGAAAGAAATAGTGTTGATGCACTGGGTTGGGCATCGTGGCCCATCGCTGTAATCTTAGCATTTGGGCTGAAACAGAAAGATCCCATCCTGGGCTACATAGCAAGATCCTACTTAAAACTCAAAGGGAAGAGGTTTAGGGGTCATTTCGATAGGGCTGAAGGTGATAATCTTAATACAGGGTGTCGACAGATGACAGCAAATGACAGAATCTTGAGGAGCTGTTTTTAATCTACATGATAAAGTCATCCAGGAAGGGGCTAGAGAGACAGCTCAGCCACTAAGAGCCCTGGCTTCTCTCCCAGAGGCCCTGGGTTTGATTCCTAGCATCCATGTGGTTTGTTTACAACCATCTGCAACTCCAGTTCCAGGGCATCTGACATCTCCTTCTGGCCTCTGAGCACAGATAGGCACACAGGCAAAATACCAATACGAGTAAAATAATTTTTTACAAAATTCAAGAAAACAGGCTTCCAACTCTGAGGTTATGTGGACATCTTGGTGGCCCTGGGACTCTGGCCAGCTTCTTTCGTCTTTCTGAAACCCCGTTTATCATCGTGTACGATGGTGGCCTCTGAAGTCCTCTCCTTGGCTCATTGGATGAAGTGTGTAAAATTCGATGGTTGGTTCCTTTCTGCTTCCAAATAAGAAATTCCTGTGGGGATATATCTTGGAAAGAGATTTTAGAATTTAGAAAGAAAGGGTGGGGGTGGGGTTGTGGATAATGGAAATGGGGCCATGTCAGTGAGTTCGGGAGCCAGCACCATCCATGGTGAGTTCCCTCGCAGAACTAGGGAGTTTTTGTGTAGGAGTAGCATCCTTGTGCTGTGATTTTCTTAATATGGTATATTCTATTTCACAAGAGAGAAAGGAATGGAGTTTTCAG